TTGTATAAGAACATGTGTCTTGCTGTAAAATGATGTGAAAATGCCGACTCGTTGCGTGGTCGCTGGTTGCTCAAATACACCAGATTCGTCTCAAATAATGTAGCTTCGCGTAGTCAAGTGAATGTAGGCACATCGATCGAAAGACGTTCTGACTGTGACCTCATGAGCGACTTTTAGTTACCAGTATTAACTTTGCCCGACCAAATCAAAGGGGCGTGGCCAAAGGACGAACTTTGAGGAGCATATCTCGACAAATATTTAATCAATCAAAAAAACTTTTTTGGCGATTAATCCTGATAACGCAAAGAATGGAAATATATATATACCTCTGGGGGTGAATAGGGACTTATGTGATTTATCTGTTAATAATATACATGAAAAAATACGAGGTAGCTTCTCATAACTACGGAGAAGAAAAGCGCGCGCATCACGTGTAAAAATAATTTATTCAAACCCTTCAAGTGACACTGACCTTGACATTGACCTTGACATTGACATTGACCAATCATTCTGGCCTATCAAAATGTCTGGTTTGTTTCTTTCTTTGCACTGAATTAACCCTCTTCTGCACTGAACTAACTCTCTTCTGCTCTGAACTAACTGAAAACTGCATTCATCTTAACCAATCAGAACTGAGAAATTTTTTCATGTATATTATTATGACTGGTAACGACAAAATATTTCATCAGAAACATGAACTCGTTGCGGATCAAAGCCCACAACATCACAACTTTGTATCAATAGTGTTTTTCTGTATTTCTTTTGTTTTCAAAGAAACGTATGCTTATTTGGTAAATTAAGTGAAATGCTCAATTCATCATTCCACTGAAAGCGAGACACGTTCACGGACAAATCAATACCCGCACATGGTAATGATTTTTTTTATCACGCTAACTTCACCCAATCAGAAAGCACAACGCGAGCTCAATGGTCATTGGTATCAAGTTTATCAAGCTTTTTGAAGTTGAAAAATAGTTGAAAAACAAACAAAAAAAACAGGTTTAATATAGGGTAGCTTTTTTTTCCCCCTCGCTATTTATTGAAGACATAAGGTGACACATTTAAGTTAAATTACATTTGTTTGTGTTTGGCTTCTCCATCAATAAAATGACAAACGATAACACATTAATAAAGTAATAATGTCGTTCACTAAGTTATGTATCTAGACATAAGGCCATTATAATTACAAGAAGAGTTCAAAATAAAGCGAAAGGATCTCATTTACTTCCAAACGGATAATAGGGATATCAAAATGTTTCTCTGCTGATCTGTTCGTGATCTGCATATATCGACTTTTTACCCAAGAGGAGCCTTATACGCTTTTTGTTTTAACATTTCTCTGATTACTTGTAAACGTTTTTAAGGCTTCATAGAGTTGGTGGCATCGTTCGCAGTTTTCTGGTTATTTTTTGTTTTCTATTTCCTTTTAAAGAATTGCAATTATAAGATAAATAGCTATTGATAATAACAATTTTTACACCGTAAGTGTCGGAAGGGAAGCCATGACATTGGAAAAGAAATATTCACACCTTACCATATCATACAGGAAATCAGTTGTATATTAGACGGTATTGCACCCACCCCTCCCATCTTCCCCTGCGATCTTATTCACAACCTTATTTCTTCATATTAGTAAGGCCCACTCCCTTGACCAAACCAAATTTAGATCGCTTCGG